ATCATCATCATCATCATCATCATCAACCACTGACACATTATATAAAGACCAAGAAAACACTCCACAAACAAAATCTAGCCAAATATTTTTTGGTCTAATTTCTAATGCAAATGTGTTAATAGACTTAAAATAAGGCAAAACTAACTTATAAGTAACTTCTCATCAAGATATATTAGCTTATTGTCTTAAGTCAATAATTCCTTTCATTAGTAGATTATTTCACTTAGAACGTTGGAAGAATATAATGTGTTTGCTAGTTGTTGCTGGCTAGTCTGAAGGAGCCGTTTGGGGGAATGGTGTTGGAGGGCTGCTCTGTGAGGCAGGAGCTCACAGGCTTGGAAACTCCAGGTTGGAGGAGGAGGAGCCTCATCCTAAAAGGCGGAGCTAGGTCCCCCCAGGCGCTTTGCAAAGCTGTACGGTTGCCATGGGATATTGAGAACTTTCTCAAACGTGCATGAAAGAATCAAGGCAACACTCCAGGTATGTTTTCGACGAATGAATGACATTGGAGACGGGATATAAAGCTCAAAGAAGTCGATTTTATTTCGTACCGGCCCTTTAAAAAATGTGTTACACAATTTTCCACTTTTTATTTATTTTTCCTCTCACAAAATTGTTTCACTTTTACTGTTTGTGACTGAGCCTCTTCTCCTGCACAGTGCTTTCACTTGGGCTGACGTGTCAGACATCTTGAATACACTCCCGCAGCGTTCCCAGGACAGACACGATTATGGAAGTTAATCGTTCATTAAGTTGGCATCGTTGTGGTCAGTTGTTAATGCAGACAGTCTGAGGACGCAGTGGTCACCTATAAGCCCCCCCAGCTCGGACAGTAGCCCAAAGTGATAGGAGGGGGCGGGGCTTTCCATTAAAATGAAAGTAGCACTCAATCTGCTCAGCGATATGCAAAACAAGCTAGTTCCAGTCAAGAATTGAGTTGGTTTGTCTATCTTTTTTAATCCACTTATCTGAAAACTGGAATCTCTTTATTCCGGATCACAACAGCGAAACGGTCGGTATCTGTCCCACGCAGACCTTTCCCAGCGGTTTCTGCTTTTAAAAACAATTCCTTCCTTAGACCTCCAAAACGTTCTCCTCTCTACTATTCGCCAAGAAAGGAGCCCTGACAAGAAAGCCGGCATTCAAATGTGTTTTCGTTTCAATCCCACAATTAAGCCACTTAATCAGAAGATGAAAAGACATCACAGCGTTTAAATCACATCAGCAAGCATTAAAATATCTGATAGACCTTCACTTGCATGCTAATTACCTGTAAAGACTTGTTTTCACTCCAGCTTGGCCTCTTCGGACATGTTTTAACAAATCCTGAGGAGTTCCTTTGTTGTACATGTCAGATGTTTCTAACAAACTTTTAAAGAAAAAAAAGATGCAAAGCTGGTGTCTAATGAGTCGACTGTTAGAATTCATAGAAACAGTGTCAAGTGCAAAACATCAGGAACAGAAACGTAAAAAAAAAAATGTTCTTTGATGTCAAAAAATTGCAAAGCTTTGCTTTGGAGGGCAGACACACTCGGTCACGTTTTCAGTTTGTGTTGGCAGACTAAAAAGCAAAGTTTACTTTGTTTACAAAGTTTACAAAGACTCGTATGCATAACGGTAGGGAAAGTGTAAATGGCACAAACTAAAATATCAAAAACTTTAGTGAGAAAATGATGTGAATTAAAGATTAGATTCAACTTTTCAAAAAGTTTCAAAATGTGGGATAAGTTTATTTTCTGATGATGTTTTGAGGAAGCAAATTCAGACGCGGGCGGATGAGACACGCTTCACACGCTGTGTCTTTTGGACTCGTTTTTTAAAAAAAAAGTCAGATCGAATATATTTTCTCCAATACTTTAAGTCGTTCTGATTCCAAGTTGAGTACCCGGATGCGTACTGCAGCCAGACGGAGGATGCGTGGCTTTCTGCCGGACTCCCTTTCAGAGCGGATGTGGAGGCGAAGGCCCAGCAGGAACCTGAAGCGACCCACTCAGGCCAAGAGGCCGGTCGCTCTGGATTCATGTAAATGGCTTTAAAAAAACCCTCATTAGTGATGGATGTGAGGGGACAGGAAAGACTCAGGACTGTGATAGCTGAATGTGTCGGCCTGGTGAGAATAGGGCCAGAGATAATAATGATGACAGCGTTTCTTTATGCCTTTGTCCTTTTCAATCACCTGTGAACTACGACACACCTTCTCCTCACTGCAGCTGCCGTCCCACAGGGAGAACGTTCTCAAATCCTCCACTCTTATCACGTCTGTTAAATGGGAAATCGTAGAAATGTTGCATAAAAATCCACAAATACTTACATGGCTTCTTTTTATTCTCATTATCAGAGACAACAGGGTTTAAAGGAAGAAACTTGCAAGGCCTCAGGGTCTTTGTTGTTTTTTTTTATCAACTTGTCTTTCATTTGATTGGGATGATGTTATGTAGATTTCTTTTCAACACCCTGAGTTTATGTTTTGCACAACTCTTTGTGAAATGTTGTTTTTTTGGGGGGGGTTTGTTGCGTCAGCCATCGTCTTACACGTCCTTGCAAAATATCTCAAACTCAGACTGGATTCAAGTCGTGCCACAAACTTGAAACTTTGATGTACGTCTGACTTTGACTAGGTCATTTTGGCTTATAAATATATAGTTTATATCATTAAGAGAGGAGATTTAAAGAACAGGCTGTGGGAAGGAACTGTTTACAACGTAACACCAGGAAGTGGAGGAAATCACAGTTAATCCAAAAGCACAACGCACTTTTCAGATTTCCTTCAGTAAAAATCAAAACGAAAACTATTTATCAAGCATCAATGTTATTTTGGAACATTTTTAAAGCTGGAGATTCTGCATGAGTTGATTTTGAAAACAAAAACGTGATTGGTCATTTTTTCTGTGCTTAAAACAAACACAATTAGGAGGCAGAATGTGTCTCAGCTTAGCATGTGGGAACCAGAATGGCTGCCGATGATTCTTCAGGCTTCAGGGGAGAGCCGTGCTAGGAAAAAGGACGGCCCGCTGAGCCATTAGTGAGCGTCCTGTAGCTCCATTTCTCCTCTCAGCCATGACTATGAAAGGAAAGCCTTCTGGGGCAACGCGCCGCATATTCCTTGTCTGGCTCCAATAAACAACAGCAGCTAAATGGAAGCGCTCTCATTGCAGGGCACAAAACTGCAACTTTGACTTAATTGATTGACTTACTTCACGTCTGAATTCTGACAGGATTAAGATTATTTCAGATTATGATGTTGTTGTTTTTTACATCGTTTTTCTACTAGAAAATAAACGAGAAAATGACAAATATTGCCTCACTCATTTATTTGTATAAGATAATTTTTGTATTTTTTATGAAAGTACCCTAAGAAAAAAATTTAACTGGCTTTTATTGAGTAAAGCATTTTAAAAATAGGGTATAGATTAAAGAAATGCATTGGAGTATACATTAATGGTTCAACTTAATCATTTTTCATAAAAAAATAATAAAATAAAAAAATACTGACTACATGTTTGCACCTTACACCGGGTTCAATTTCAATGATTTGCTCAATTTCAACAACTTGCTTCATCAGTGAATTTTTGAGTGATAAAGAGGGTTTTTTTCTTCTCATGAATATATTTACCCAGCTTGCCGAGTAAGCAATTGTTTAAAATTCCGCATCAAACTTTGTGGTTTAAATAAATAGAAATCAAGCAGGAAGTTTTGATAGTTGCAGTTATTCTCGGGCCTAATTCCACTCTGATGGTTGGTATCTAACATTTCCTGCAAACTCTTCAGAGCATTCCTGCACCACAAAAATGATTCAACACAGAAGAAATGTTTAAATGTTTCTTTACAATGTTTTATCACAATCACAGAGATTTCTCGTTGGTTGATCAAAACTGACTATTAAGCCAGTTTCATTGGCTTAGTTCTAACAGCGCAAGGCAACAGAAAACAAAACCTTTGCAATATAATTCATCATCATAGTAACAGGAGCGAAAAGACCTTAAAAATGGTTGTCATTTTCCTCCAAGGAGACGCACTAATTTATGAAGGGCCTTTTAGCTGCTAAACTTACAGATTTATATAGCTACTCTGTGCAGTCAATGTAAACTTCAGTACCAATTTTATTAGTAAAGAGCAAATGTCATGAAATAAAATATAAAATACAAAGTATATTTCACTATTTTTTTTTTTAATTTGGTTTGACGATTTCGCTTTGTTGTTCGTACAAACATATATATATATATATATATATATATATATATATATATATATATATAATATATATATATATATATATATATATATATATATATACAATACAGACCAAAAGTTTGGACACAACCTTCTCATTCATGGGTTTCCTTTATTTTCATGACTATTTAAAAGGCAAGAAAGCCACTTATTAACCTGACAGGTCACACCTGTGCAGTGAAAACCATGTCAGGTGATGACCTCTTGAAGCTCATCAAGAAAATGCAGAGTGTGTGCAAAGCAACAATCACAGCAAAAGGTTGCTACTTTGAAAATAAGGCGTATTTTCAGTTGTTTTACACTTTTTTGTTTAGTACATGTTTCCACATGTTAATTCATAGTTTGATGCCTTCGGTGTGAATCTACTCATTGAATGAAAAGGTGCGTCCAAACTTTTGGTCTGTACAAATATATATATTTATATACATATATTTAAATAGGGGACTTTTTGGACTGGGGGGGGCTCCAGGGGGGGTTCCAGAAGGCGCTCGGGTCGTTGTCGAGCTGCCGGTGCAGAGCGTCTGTGTTTGGCCTCTTCATTAGGCATCCCGGTGTCACGTCGGCAGAACAAACAGCACGGAGCGGAGGTCAAAGGGAGCGCGCGGTGTTTAAATGTGTGTCGACTCCGAACGACGACAACGAGCCTAGAAAGTTTACAGAGCTGGAAGTTGTCCCGAGTTAAAAGACGGTGAGGGGGAAGAGACTCTCCGGATAGTGTAAAGTAAGCAGCCGCGGGCCGGACCGGACCGGACCGGACTGGACTGGACTGGACGACTTAATCCAAGACACCGTGTCAGTTCAGATGTAAACTGGTTTACAGCATTTTGGAACTAGCTTAGTTTAGCTTTATTTGTCACGCGCACGTAATGCCACAGAGAAAGGCGAGATAAACACAACAACTCAAACAAGAGTAATAGTGAGTAACAAAAAAAGACAAGATATTAAAAAGATAACAATTGAGCAAACGAGTTGCTATTTGCGAGCAACGGTCGCATGTTGACCGTGGATTAACACGCTGAAGTGGGATTAGCGGAGCCGCTCCGTGGGGCCCCGCAAACCCCGCTGAACCTGACGCCTCGGCTGCGGCAGGCAGCGGGCCTCAAACGCCACACGGCTTCCGCTGCTGCTAAAAAACACACTTTGCTAACAGGACACGGCCATGTTAGGACTGAATGGGAGGCGAACGAGACAATGACCCACGAACCAAGCCAGAACCTGTCATGGGGACGGCCCACGGTGAGTTGTTGCGCTGCTTGAAGCATCTGTCGGCCAGGCGGGGCTTGAAAGGCCCCCAAATAAGATGATTTAGGAACATCAAGGCTTTCCCCAGCGGTAATCATTACATTTGGACTTAAGATCCATGCAAGAATTTGTTGCGCAGTAAATCTCCTTGAGCCACCCCCCTGACCCCCCACCACTTCCCCCGAGGCCCCAGCGCTCTTCAAAAGCCTCGTTATTCAAAGGTTAGGATGTTTGACAATCCCAGCTTGTACAACTCCACCAATTAATTGGATACGTTGCAGTAGGGATGTTGGGTCTCTCTCATCTGTTGCTTGGAAAGACAAAGGCTTAGCGGGGGGTTGTTCGCACCTCCCCGTGCTGCCGGGGTATAAATCGAGGCTCTTCAGGTGGGTCAGGCATTCATTCTCAAAGTGGACCTCGGAGCAGCAACTTTGCTCTATGATTATTTTTATTTTTATTTCCCCCTCAGAAAGCAAATTTGAAACACGCAGATACCGAACAGACAAATGGAAACCGGCGGATACTCCGTGCGTAATTACGCACAGGCCTCACTATGCGCGCAGAGCAACGGGAGCCGCTGCGCTCCGGCCGCGAAGGCTCCAAGCGGGAAGTCTTTCACCATCGAGGCTCTGCTGGCCAAGCCGGAGGAGGCGGCACCCAGAGACCGGACCGGTCACCACCAGTGCGGGGTAAAATACCCGCAAACCGCGCCTCCTCCGCATCTGGCCGGGTTAACGCTTCCACCCGCACACTACCTCTATGCGCCCAACGAGTTGCACCCCAGCATTCACCCGCAGCCTGGATATTCCGTCTACTGCTACCCGCCGTTCACCTACGCACCATCCTGCCGGGAAGCGTTTTACGCACAAGGTAAAACAAAACAAAAAAAAAAATCAAAAAAATGGAGCGACGTCGGACACGTGGAAGATCACGACTCCGCATTACAGTGTCAGTAAACATTTTCCTCTCTCTTCTTTCGCAGCTGCCGCGTCCAAAGCGAGCGCCGCGACGCACCAGTTCAAGACGAAAGGCGGAAAGTCGAAGCGCATGCGCACCAGCTTCACCAGCGAGCAGCTGTCCCGGCTGGAGAAGGAGTTCGCCCGGCAGCAGTACATGGTGGGATCCGAGAGGTTCCTCCTTGCCTCCGCTCTGCAGCTCACAGAGGCTCAGGTGGGAACTAGAACCAGCTTCTAAGATGCAAAACAATGATAAAAACCACAAACCCTACCTATTATTTCTAAAACGAAATCATTAAAAGCTTAAAGACTTAAAGAAAACAAGCAGATTTTCAAGATTTTTCATTTCTATGTCAATGTCTAATTTATTCCTCAAATAAATAAAAATTTTAATTTATTAAATTAAACAGCTTTTAAAATGTTGACTTATCGCTTCAGAAACATTAAGCAGCCTTTATGTTAATACATACATTTTCACAAGCATAAAAAAAGGTTCATAATCTTTAAAAAAAATTCTCAGTTCAGTTGTCAGATGCAAACTGACGTAGGCCTATACCAATTGACAAATATCAAACAATAAAGTCACATAAATAGTAAAACAATAATTGAATCAATAGTGGTAGACTTTGCAAATCCTGCCTCTTGTTTTAAAGAAACTCAGCCTTACTAGCTAGCTTAAGCTTAGCGTTAGCACTGTGGCTAACTATGACATCTAAACCAAAATGTTTGCTTCAACACAAAACTTCCTCAACCACCAATTGCATCAGTGAACACCTTTGGCTTCGCTAATATCAGTGTTTGAATGTAGAGGATGGAGAGAAACACGCTGCTGTTAGCTTGTTAGAAGTAGTTAGCGCTACAACCATTAGCAAATCTTAGTATTTTTTATGTTCAGCTAGATTATGCTGCATTTGGTTGTGACATCACTTGATATCCTACTCCTTAGACAACTGCATGAAGTAACAAAAAAAAAACTGCATTAAGTATCAGCACCACCCCTTGCTAGCAGGTTTGTCTTTAGCATTAAAATCACTAAGCTAACCAAAATTTTATACAAAGTTACAATTTTAACTCCAAATCACAAATTCTGACAAACATGTCAGTGTTCCCGTTCTCTGCTCAGCACGGAACCAGTGAGGCTAACGGCTAGCTACTGTTAGCCTATTCAAAATGTTTACTAAGACGAATTAACTAGAGTAGAACATCACATTTCGAAAATAGTAAGTATCAAAGTGTGAAATAAAATCCATGTTGAAATCCGAAATATTTTTCTCTCTGTCTCTCTCCAGGTCAAAGTCTGGTTCCAGAACAGACGCATTAAATGGCGCAAACAGAGTCTGGAGCAGCAGCAGGCCAAACTGGCCAAACTGGGACTGGCCGCTCCGCCGAAGAGCCCCGGATCTCAGGGCCACGGAGACGAAGGCGACGAAGACGAGGACTTCTCCGACTCGGACGTGGATATCGATGTGTCCGATGACTCCGTGGACCACTGCTGATCGTTTCAAAACTTCCCTGTACATAGCGCTGAGAAAGGAGACGGCCATCTCCGACTGTCACTATTTAATAGATTTATACTTATATATTTAAGTTTCTGCATTTATTCGTCGAAGATGAGAACGTATCCTGTATCGCTTTATATCTGACATATTTTTAAATATATTTTAAGACTTTAATGCCAATTCAGTTGTGTTTCTTTCTTTCTCCTCTCCCTTTCACATCAAAAGCTCTCAAAGGAAAACATAAAAGATGTCATTTCCAAGTTCAAATGACACATTTTGTGAAAGTCACATGAACTATCTTGACATTCTGGCATAGTAAAATAATCAGTTTCTTTTATTTTATGTTTTATAGGCATTTGAGTAAAAAGAACATTGTTCTTTTATTCTATGAACTACTGTCTCCTTTGAAATCTGGACAGTTATAAAAATGAATCGATCAGGACAATGATCCCAAACCCAACAAAACTCCGTTACCAATGACAAAAGTCGGCCAACTTTGAGTTCTTAAATTTAGCCCTGCCGAGGATTTGCTGACTAAGCTTGAAAGTCTGTTCTGTGATCACCAAATTAAATAATCTGAGAGAAGCGGTGGTCAAATATCCAGAATCGATTATTTCTAAAGCTTGTTAAATATTTGACAAAAGACATTTAAAGTTGAGTTGTATAAATTCAAACGCAAATTTATAAATTACTAGTTGTTTTTTTTTTTGCGAACATTGAATTTTTTTCCGATGTTCATTGTGCCATTTTATAGCACAATCAAATACGTATGTTACTTTCAGTTGATATAAAAATGCAGTATTTGACTTTTAAAAATTTAACAACTTGAAATTGGGCTTCTGTCTCTTTAAAAGCTCCTATTCTTTCTGAAACTCCGCCCCCAGGGAGTCATCACAATATGGCTCCTCTATTAACCCTTTAACAATGTTTTTACCAGCGTTTTACTGAGAAGTAGCTCCTATAATGAGCTCAGCTGAGCCGCAGTTCCACCAACTGTTAGCTAATTGCTGCTGGCTAGTCTGAAGGAGTGTTTGGAAACAGCATCTCCTCCTTCTTCCAAGAAGATGAAGCTAGGTTCACCCAGGTGTTTTTGCGCACATGGATGGTTGCCGTAAGAGATTCACAGGTTCTCAAACATGCACGAAAGAATCAAGGCAAGATATGTTATGATGAGAGAATGACATTGTAACATGATGTAAAGCTCAGAAAAGTAGATTTTACAAGAAATTTGTAAAATACAATAAACGGACTGTGTTGACTGCAGGTGAACTTTTGACCAACTGAACATTTGTGCTGGTAAACATGATAAATTACACTTCCTCGTTACCTCGGCTTCTGCAATAATCAAACCCCTTCTCAGTCTGATCACGCCGACCTCCAACATTTTTCGCACGTAGATCATCTGGCCTCCCTCTGCGCCCGGGCAAAGACGATGGAGACATTTCCTCCTGGGCCTGCTCTCATGTAAAGTCGGGGACAGACTCGGGTTCCCCTCCGATCTGTGCAAAGCAAATAAATACCCAGCTGGGGGGATTATCTGGGTTATCTGTAACCCCCCGGGGTGGCAGGGGTCACTCTGTCTCAGCGCCACAGAGCCAAGCTCTCACTGCGTAATCTGTTTAAACCGTCAGCATGGCTGTTCTCACTGCCGGTCGGTGGACACGGTTCCCACAGGCCCGGCCAACCACAGGCAGGTGCCTGTCCGCGCTCTGGCAGACAGAAGGATGTCGATGTGGGGGTCTTGTCAGAGTGGCTGATGGCAAACACTGGACACAGCGTCATTATTTTGTGTTTCCATATATATTCCAATATGTTTTCAGGCTTCATGGAAATGTGTTTGTGCAGGAAAGCTGCTGCCGATGAGTCAACAATGAAGGAATTGCAGTTCCCTGTGCGGGTGAGACGTCAAGTAACGCTCCACTTCTGATTGGTGGAAATGGAAGCTTGATTAGAAACAACTGTTTGTCTTTTTTATTATTATTATTTTCCCTGTTACGTATACAAGCACTCAATTTTGACACCACAAGGTCTTTTTAATGCTCCTTTGTATGCATTTTTTCATCTTTTGCTTTTATGATTTGGCCAGATTTAGATATTATCACTGCAATGCGTTGCCAGAATTTACAAAAATACTCATTCGAATTTTGTGACGGCATGCAAAAAGATGAAGTCGGACATTTTTGTTAGACTTTAGAATAAAGTCGTAAAATGATTACTTTGTTTCCAGTATGCAACATTCTCGTATTATCTCAACTTTATTCTCGTAATTTTATTATTATATCTTCTTAGCGTGGCCCTAATGTCATGCATTTTGTCTTCTGTCCAACCGAATAAAAATGTCCTCATAGCCAGAAAAGCAACTCGGCTCTTCAGAACAAAATAGCTGTTTTTTATAAGATATGCAGCAGGAAATTTGTTTAGATTTGTAATTTACTAATTTAAAAAAACTACGTTTTGTTTTGAAATATTATTGTATTTTCCTTTGGGGTTAACAAAGTATTTTTGAATTGAATTTGAATTGAAACAACATACATTTCCTTCAGTAGGTCATGCATTTTTCCTCTAAATTTATATAAAACGAAAGCAGATAGTTTGCTTCATAAAAGAATGATCAACGGAATAAATATGCACATTTTGCACAAAATTTATCTATTGGTTTTAATTATATTTACATTTTAAAATATTGCTCAGTTTTTAGCAGGTCGCTCAGATCCACAGGACGCAGACCAATTTCGCTTCATGTCTCCCCACCTCGTCTCTCTATTGTCCATTTCCCGTCTGATCTATTGAAAATAAGGACCACTAGAGCCAGAAAAACCTTTAAAAACGTGCAAATCTTCAAGGGAAAGGAAAAAATGAGCAAAATCAATGAAAAATTGAAGTGGAAAGCGGTAAAAACTAAGGCGAGTGCTGGAAAGTAAATCTTAGTAAACAACAGACATGATCTCCTCTGTCTCTCGCTCCCCACCTGGTTCTCCTGATCACTTTGATTAACGGTGAAGTGGATCTGAAGACAGACAGAATTTGTGTAAAAACCCGTGGCCGGCTTTGTCTGACGCGATCAGCCTGGAACAGGAAACCAAACGGCTCCCCTCCCTCCTCTCAGCGGCCCGGCGTAATCCCATTGAGACACACTGAATCCTGGGGGACGGGGGGACAACAAAACACTAAGAGCGTCCCGAGGCAGGGAGTCAGGGAGGTCATCGCCTCAATTAGCACGAGGCACCTTAACGGCTGGAAACACGCCGGGTCTGGCTCTGTTCCTTAAGATTCTCTGCAGGGTCTGAGGGAAAAGCTCAACTGGTCCATCTTCATCTGTTTCTATAGCTGCTGCTCTCATCGGAGGAGTCAGGTTGGCACCCTGCAGAGTCACAGAGGATGTGGCTCTTTAGTCACTGTGTGCTCAGACTGAGGGAGGGTCTGATTGTGTAAAATGTTGGCAGCTTTATTAGGAGGAAAATCATCTCTGATAAGTCTGTCTCCATGATGGGAACATGCAGAGGTTACATTGGAACAGGGATTACTCTGAAGCACTTTTTAGGGTGTTTTCACACCTGCTGGTCCCATAGACTCGGTTCGATTAGGGGCCAAAGCTGCAACATTTGTTACATTTTCAGCTGGTGTGGAAAAACCTGTTCCTCTCCTCGCCTGTGGTGTCGCTGCACCAAGAACCACAGAAGAAAACGACATAAAAACCTCTGAAGAAGACACGAGTGCGACTTCATCCTTCAAGAAATGTAAAGAAAACTGGAGTCGTGTGGGTTTTTTGAGGTTGCAGGATTTCTCTATTATGTTCGGCAAAAGGCCACAAGCCATTTCCCCCGCTAGCTCCGGACTCTATTTAGCCAGAATGCCCTGCACTACAGTCTGCGTCCTGCTTTTGTGGATTTATAAAATAAAAGACGCTTATTCTCATATATGAAGTGGCTCAATCAAAAACGAACAGGACGAAACGTAACAGCATTTCCTGTTGTGGAAACGTGACATTATGACGATGGAGTCATAATATTATGCTCTGCTGCTACACATGCACAAACAGCTGACTACTTTGGCGCCCCCTCTAGCAGCGCCCCTTGTATGAACATCAACAATAATGGCAATATTCAGGGCAACAACGCTGCAACGACATATCAAGATCATTTCTTATATTTAGACCATGTAGTGTGAATTGTTTAATGTTCAGGAACTAGAAGCGGTGAGGCCCTGTGAGCGTTTCCAGTAGCTGCGTCATGTAACCACAGCACCGGTTCCAGTGTTTGACCGTCAGATTGTAATGCAGCTGTGAGAAGGTGTGAAAGTTCTCATGGGGAGCAACAACCCGCTGCTCCAGCAGGGAGACAGAGGAGTGTGACAAAGGAGGCGATTGTTGCAAATAGAAACCCCAACCCATTCTCTCTCTCTCTCTCTTTTTTTTTTTTTTGCATTTTATTTGCAGAGGTGAAGAACCACTTTACTCCATCTAATAGTCATTAGCTTTCATTACCAGCGTTTGAAGTGGAAGCAGCTCTTTGTTGGGTCGTGAAAAGGGAACGAAAAAAACAACAACAAAAAAAAAGACAACAGGGGCCCCTCCGCCGTAGGCTCCTGGAAAGCAGCAGGGGACAGAAAACAGGAAGTGGATACGTTTTTCTGAATTCAAAAAGCAACATCGTTTAAATCTTTTTTTTTTTTTTAATAAAATAAAAACGTATATTTCTCTTTGCTCGCCGGTGTTTTCGCTAGTGGTCGGCCTGTTTGTGTATTCGGGGGCCGCAGGTGGCTCCCGGAGGATCCACTTCTCACGCAGGTGGCACAAACGCAGCGACGTGTGACTTTTCCCATCTCGTTATAACGGGGTGAAATTTTCCAAGTATCTAATTGGAACAAATTAGCTGAGCACACAAAAGCTAATGTGGGACAAAACGGCCAATTAGCTTATTAATGAAGAGGGCAGAGCAACAAGGATGACCCGGAACGTCACAAGCGTAAATAATAAGTTCGTCTAAATATACATAACAACCAGTGCTGCCAGTTGTTTAGAATTGAAATCGGTTTTAGCTTGATTTGAACTGCGGTAACTGTGAAATAAGCATGTTTATGAACGTGTCTGTTGCTCTCAGAGCTGTAGTCTCTGAAGTCACCACTAGATGGCAGCATCTGCCCGAGAA